GGGCTAGGTTTTTTTGAGGAATATTTGTCCACTTGTTAAATAACGAGACTCAGTTATGTGATTTGTTAGTATCCACCAAAGCCCTGCGCTGTGAACATTTTATAAAAAAGTTTAGCAATAAGTCGCATGGACAAACTGAAATTCGTAATGAACGATTCAATGATAAGTCGCAACAATTGTAATCACACATTGACATTATCATCTCCGTCTCTGTTCCAAAATCCAAAGGAAGCAGAGCATTCATGAATCCGGCGCTAATGCTACGTCGTTTCATTTGCTTCAATGCTTCTGCAACTCTTTCTTCTCTAGCTCCTTGTCCGAAGAAGAAGAAGCCTCTCATCTTCTTAGGCTCTCCTCAGGTGACATAATTTTTTACATGTTCGTCCTGTATAATTACAACTATTGGGTTTTTTTAGGGCTTAGACTGTTCTGATTTCTGCGAATTAGGTTTCCGTGACTGTGCTTGAAGCTCTCTTCGATGCATCTGCTGCTCCCAACTCTTCCTTCGAGGTGTTTCATCTGAAACTTTGTTCAGAGATTTCTCAATTTCCTTCTCCATGCTTCTTAATTGCTCTTGTGTATTGTCGTCGATTGAATTTTTGACTTGTTTCTGGAATTAACTTTGGTGTGATTGAAGAAGGTCTCTTCATTCCATTGGTGTGAATGGATTCACTTGGAAAATTGGAACTCAGATTTGAATAATCCTGATTTTGATTCTTCTTAATGAGAATTGAGAACAATCTTTACTGTCTTTTCGATGTTAACTTCTCTTGGGAACAAGATGTTAATGGACACTGTGAATTTGGTTTTGTTAGCCCTTTTGACACTCAAACAACATAAGAGAAATGTGGTGAGATATTTAGAAACTGTTGTTGTTACTACCTAAAACCACTTTTCACTCTTAGATTAATTCTTTCTAAACCGCTAATTCGGCTTGTTTTAGGTTGCAGGCATTGTCACACAGCCTCCGGCGAGGAGAGATAGGGGCAGAAAAGTTTTGCCTTCTCCAGTTGCGCAATACGCTCTCGACAAAGGCTTACCTTCTCATCTTATTTTCTCCCCTGAAAAGGCAGGAGACGTAAGGATTGTCATCTCATGTCAAACTCTTTCTTTTCGAAAGAGTCGTTCTTTCTTGTGAAGATGACACCTCATTATAATATTTATCGAATTTGGTGGAGTGACTAAATGTTTTGTTTCTTCTATGCAGGAAGCATTCTTATCCACTTTAAGAGATTTGCAACCTGAGCTTTGTATTACAGCAGCTTATGGGAACATTTTACCTACCAAGTTCCTTAATATTCCACTACATGGTTAGTTGAAATTGCTACATAATGGAACATCTTAGATCTTAGATGGTAGGAAAGGATTTTGTTTTCTATTTACTATAACAAAATATGTGTTTCTGAAGTCGATATTTACTATTTTTAGGGACAGTGAACATACACCCAAGTTTGCTGCCTTTGTATCGTGGTGCTGCTCCGGTTCAAAGAGCATTACAGGTGCAATTTTCTTCTAATTCTTAACTCTTACCACTCCTTCCTGTCTTTGCTTAACTTTTTACTACTACATGCTAAGACTCTTAACTCAAATGTGCACAATAACATTTGGTGGCTGCATTAGGATGGTGTCCAAGAGACAGGAGTATCATTAGCATTTACAGTGCGGAAGTTAGATGCAGGGCCAGTGATTGCCTCTAAGAGGTTCCAAGTAGATGATCAAATAAAGGTTATGCTTTTATCTCTCAATGTAGCTGATGCTGATCATCGTAACATATTTTCTAGGCCCTGATGATCTCTGTCCATCTAAATTGTTTGCAGGCACCAGAACTACTCTCGTTCTTAATTTCGGAAGGTGATTTATTCGTTCTTATGCGTATAGATTCCATGAAAAGTAATTTGAACCTTACAGGTTCAGAAATTTAGGAATTTCCCAGCTTATCTATGCGAAAAACCTTTACAGGATCTAAGCTTCTCATCCGTGAACTTCCCTCGATATTTGATGGGTCAGCAAAATCAAAAGCAGTTCCCCAAGATGATTCTAACGCTACCTTAGCTCCAAAGGTATTTGTTGCATCTCTTGTATCAATTATAATTACAAAATATGGCACAGAAATTAGAAGGCTTTCCTTCTATACTGCTTTCTGTATGAGATCTTACATAATCTGATACGAAATTTCGTTCGTCAACTGAAAAGGAGATTAAAAATTATATTAAGAAAAACTTGCTGGATAAGAAACACCAATGTTTCTTATTGGAATTGAAATTATTCAATCGATGCACAGATATCTCCAGATGAGGCTTGGCTCTCTTTTGACCAGGAAGCTTTTATCCTACATAACAAGGTGGAGAACCCTTTCATTCATTTCGTTCAATTAGTTTATAATTAATCATAGACATATAAAGTAAAACCGCTTTCTAGGTTCGCGCACTTGCAGGATGGCCGGGAACACGAGCTAAAGTTGTAGTCCTCGATGACAAAAGCGGTGAGCAAAACGTATTGGAGCTTAAGATCATCACCACTCGAGTGTGCCAAGAAGTGGAAATCCAGGACGGTGGACAAGATTATGTTAGTTTCAAGAAAGCTTCATTGGTGGTTCCCTGTGGAGGAGGTACAGCTTTGGAGGTAAAAGATATAGATAAATGTCTCATTGTTGATACAAAAGGTAGATGTTATGAAGTGGTAAAATCAGGAAATGAGACTTTAATCTACATTTAGAAGCTAATATTTGGTGTTGCTGATTTAGGTGCTGGAAGTCCAGCTTCCTGGTAAGAAAGTGATCAATGCAGCCGCTTTTTGGAATGGCTTGCGAGGTCAAAAGCTGAAGAAGCTATGAAGACAGAGATTGCAGTTTTGTTGTAGCGCCGAAGCAAAGCTAAGCTTTGGTCAGGAAAAAGTTAGAACGAAGCAAATTAGTCAAAATCTGGTGTAGCCACTTCTAAATGTCTGAAATATATAATCAGTTTCTTAAAAGTGGTCTATAGCAATGAATGGTAACTCGCGATTTTTTGTCTCATATATTTGTTCTTTTAATCTTATTTTGTTACGGCTATATTCTCATATTCTTTGGTCGAGGTATTACAATGTTAAGTGTACAAGGATTTCAGAGATGGTGAATTTTATGTAATTCGGAAACTTGACATCAAAAGCATGATTACAAACATTTTGGTTTCGATTCTTAGTAAAAGAATTTAAGCTCAGTAACAAAAAGAAAAAAACATATACATGAACTTTAACAATTAACAGACTGTAATTTGTGTATTGGTCACCAAAACTAACCTGAAACTACTAAACAATGCGTCATTTTGGCAGTAAACAGTTAAATTTATTCTGGAATTTCTGATCAAGTGGTGACTTTTACAAGGAATATATCCATAAATTTGGATCAAGAAAACTGCTCGCAAGTGTTGAGCATGCGCAATCTTGTTTTCTTATGCTCCAGACCGGAAACTCCAACATGTTTATTCAATGTGTAAAAGGACCTGTGCATAGTTGCATTAACTACCCAAAATCACTGTCCCTTGCTAGTGACAACGATATCTAATTGAAGCCTCAATTCTAAACCAGTATTTAGCATCATAGGCAAACATCTGTGCAAGTAAAACTTCCAAAAATGTTGGATAAAATCAAAGAATACCTGCCTTGATGTCTAAGTAGCCATATAATCTCCATGACTTTCATCTAACATCTCAATCACAGGAGCATACTGCATCATGTCAAATCATGGGAGCCGGTGAGCGGAAAAAGAACGGAAAGCTAAAGAAGCTTAAGACAAAGCTGGAAGCGGATGATACATTTACCTCGTCATCTTCCTCAAAGAAAATCCCATCACTAGTGCTCTTCTTCTGAAACTCCCATCCTAATCTGTTCTCAAGCAACTCTTTTAATTTCTTCGTCTGCAAAATATACGTGAAAATAAATTTTCTGTAGAGAGAGATGACGATAGAGGTTGTAAAATATTGATCTGATCTGTTTATGTACAATTCTGTACATACCCACGACAATAAATCTCCATCAACTACAGTCGCCTCTTCCACTAATGCAAAAAAGTCCTGTTATCAAAGCAATGGAAGTTCAAAGACAAATTTTCTACATCTTCCCGAAACAAATTACTTAATATGCTAAACGTATGCTTGCACAGAGAAACATGTCGCTAGTAAGAGATTTACCTTGCAAAGCAAGTGAAGAAAGCTATCAGAAGCTAGCCAAGAATCATCAAGAAGCGCATGAATGCCCATCTCAGGACCACTACTCTCTTTTTGTAGTCCATATTTTAGTTGATGGTAGATGACTTTGATGAACTGTAATAATGCATCAGGAAGAGGGAAAATTTGAGTACAGAGTTGATAGTATCAGTTTACATATCCATCTAGATGCATACTATATAGGAGGGCACATAAAGATAGAGAAAGAGGCGATAGTATCAGTTTACATATCATTCATTCTCAGATATACTATTTTAAATGAAAATTGAGAAAATTCACCTTTGTAAATAGTTGACTCCTTGTATGAAAGGGCTGCAAAAGGTTACAAAGAAAGTAAATGTCAAAAATCAAAGAGCCATGAAGTCGCATTAAATTTTCGAATACAATGAGTAACATATAAATCAAGATATGCATATCATAAACAAAAACTGAGAAGTTTAGAAAACGGGTGAAAACAGAAAGCAAAAGGTACATCATCGCCCAAGAGACCTGGTGGATGACTGGGTTAGGTAGGAAAATCATAAACTTTGTAGAGATAATAAGACTCAACATAAAATAATTCAGGCAGATATATGTGTATGTCATATCATGTCAAATATGAAAATAAGATAAGATTTTGGTATGAAAATGATATTAACAAAATTGTAGCTTCAAAATCACATACCGCATCGGTGCAGCCCAGTAAAAGACTAACTAAGGACTTCCATTGCATGAAGGATTCCAGAGACTGCCCCATCTGCACAATAACGTGACACCTATATCTGAGACTTGAACAAATCTGAAGGAATTCTATATATATATGCACTATACTTCTAGTGAGTATATGTTACAGTAGCAGCACATACCAAAAATGCTACAAATGAAAATTGTAGCTCGCCAAGAAGCAAGTCTTCCGAGGCTTCGTACTCCTTTGACAATACGCTTTCTAGCAGTTGAGTCTATACAAAGAAAAAGAGGAAATGACATAATTAAGCTTCATAGGATTTCGAGGTTTAAAAATCTACCAAAAAGGTAAAGAGAAAAGAATCTGTTAAGGGGGCTTACCTTGTCGAGATTCATAGAGGTCAGCTCCTGCCCAGACATTCCCTTGTGCTTTATAATCCGAGGAATAGAAGTGTAGTAAAACCTATTTCCTTTGGGTTGCTCAGTAGATGTTGTCTTAGACCTGCTTTTCTTCATCTGTGCATCAAGTGCTCTTTCCATTGCCGTTTTAGGTCCACCACTCAGAATAGCAGATTCATAGATGACTGTTATTTCTCCTCCAACTGGCTCTGCAAAATTGAACAAATAATTTTGAGCAAGCCAAGTTTTACAGTGTTCACTACTTAAGTGAGGGAAAACATTAGCAATGTGGCTTAAGAATCCACTAAAAATGTGGTTCACATACCATATTTTTCAATAATATCCTTCGTAATGTAGTTAGATAAGTGCTTCCATTCCCCATATTGACTTAGATTGTATGGGCCAAGATGCTTATCAAACTCCAAATTCCTGACTGATAGGGAGTATCTCTCTTCCTGGCATCGACAGGAAAAAAATGAAAATAAACAACCCAACACTAATTCTCAAGCCTACTGGCAAGTACTACTTCAACTAGATTTTTTTTTCTGTTCAAGTTCCGCACAAAAAGATTTGACTATATTCCTCCTCCCGTAGGTATTAAACTAATTTCTATTGGAAGAGGATGCAAATCACTGACCAACATATAAGCAGCACTGAGAAAATTACAGCTTTAGGTTATTAAAAGAACAAACCTCTTCTTCAGGGAGTTTGGCCAAGCACTCGTCCTGCTGATTCCACTTGCGTACAATTACCTTGTATAGTCAACAACAGATAGTGAAAATATATCCATGAATGGTTTATACAGTTCCATGGTGCTACATACAGGATACTAAATACAGACAAGAACATGAGTAACTGATTTCTAGAATATGTTTTCTATAGTATAACAATCAATGAAAATAACTATAAAGTACAAACACATGTAGAAAACCTAAACCTCATATATATAGATATGCGTTTTCTTCGAGAATTTATGATTCTTATGGAAATGAGGAACACAAAATATTCAAAGTTGTTGAGGATAGACTGATCCCAAACCTGAGAAGGAGCAACATCAACAAAGAAGCCAATGGTAGGTGAAAACTCTTTACCATCCCTGAAAACAAAAAAAAATGAAATTCTGCAGTTATCAGCCAAAGCCAGTTATACAACAACATCTATAAAAAACAGATATTATTGCTTTTAAATGAGTAAACAATGTCAATACACAAAAGCTATTTAAGGACTTGAACCTGGTCGATGAACTATAGAATACAAAGTGAATACCAGGAGGAATCATCTTAATCCCTTTGAAAGCTGGTCCCACTGTGAACATCTGTAACGATAATACACACAAATTCCACCAACAATGAATCAATTACAGTTCCATATCAAACTCACTACTCACATACACACGGATTCTAAACAAGAGAATCAGTTGGTCATCACAATTTGTGCTCAAATTCACCATACTATGGGCTTAATCATGAAGAAAACAGAGCTCGGAATCAACTTTCGACATGATTCGATACTTTTTTTAACTCCAGAAAGATTGTATTCAAACTCAATCCCATTTTTATAAACTTGCAACAAGAAAGTAACTCACCTGAGTATCGATTCCGATAAGTGTATGCTGAGGAACGTCGAGAAAGAGAAGCGTAGCTCCATGCTTCACAAGCTCTAGTGCCTTTTCAGAATCCATAGCTTTCTTCTTCTTCTTCCGATC